AAATAATACAGGTTTCACCGAAGCGGAAGGTTTGTCTAACTATATATATATATATATATATATATCAGTCTCTGTGTGTGTGTTAAAAGTATAGAAATATCGATTTTAAAAGTTAATACAATTCTGATAAGCATAAGATGCAATAATAATAGAAATTGAAGAATGAGTTGCCGGGAGAAAATGATAGGGATATAAAATCATTATTTTCAAGAAAGGCAGGCAGTCTTTTGAGGGAGAGAAGGTATTGACAGAGAAAAAACATATATGTATGCAAAAATGTGAGTTTGGTGGATGATAACATTTTCGTTTCATATTGCACAAGATCAATGTTGGTCTCACCTCGGGGAATCGTACTAACGACGCTCAGAATAACCCGGTGGCTCCGTCTCGCTGTTTCACCGGAGGAAGAGAGCCAGACTTCACCGCCTGCATATGATATCTTGGAAAACTTCTAAAATTACGAAAATAATTTTAAATGCTAAACATTCCCAGATATCTGATACTGTACTGTGAAAGACATAGTATGCAACATAGATAGATAAATAGATAGATATGAAGAGACTGACATAGATAAAATAGATAGGTAAATGGAGAGATGTATGTACAGCAACAAAGACAGCCTGCGATATAAACACATAGAAAAAAAAACCTCTAACATAAACACACAAAAACTCACACACACATATACATATATATATATATATATATATATATATATATATATATATATAGAGAGAGAGAGAGAGAGTGAGAGAGAGCGAGAAGAGAAAGATAGATAGATAGATAGATAGATAGATAGATACAAAGTGGTTTCCTAGACAGAGAAATATAACTAGTACAGGCGCGAGATACAAAACGGATATATATATATATATATATATACATATATATATATATATATATATATATATATATATATATATTCATGAATTATTCATACAAAAACAAATACAAAGGTTAATGATTTAATTGGCGAGAAATCCATCGTCGCAAACAATTCAAATAATTAAGAATCTGTTAAGATTGAAAAGATCCTTGTTTTTATAAATTTCTGTTGCATTAGTTCTTATTTTTACAAGCTTTCGTATGTTCCTACAGACATCTTCAAGTATGGAATAGATGTTGTTCTTGTTTTTACTCTCATATATATATATATGAAGAAAAATATACTGAAAAAACAAACAAAAACATAATTAACATAGACCATATACAATTATGGTCTATGTTAATTATGTTTTATGAATATGTCCTGAAGATGGTCTATTAGACCGAAACGTCCGACGTCGACATTAAACATTAAAACAACATAATCGAATATTAGGATTTTTCTTAGTTTTTTCAGTATATTTTCCTTCATACTGTCGGATCTATATCCATATATTTGCTCACACACACACACACACACACACACACACACATATATATATATATATATATATAATTTCTCATAATTAATCTAGCCTACAAGATATGTGTGTGCGTCTGTGTGTGTGTCTCTCTGTGTGTGCCTGTGTCTCTGTGTGTCTGTGTCTCTGTGGGTCTGTGTGTGTGTGTGTGTGTGTGTGTGTGTGTGTGTGTGTGTGTGTGTGTGTGTGTGTGTGTGTGTGTGTGTAATGCATAAAAGTTAACAGTCAGAGTTGATTCCGACCAGGAAACATTACCATTAAATATTATGTCATATATACACACACACACATATATATATATATATATATGTGTGTGTGTGTGTGTGTGTGTGTGTGTGTGTGTGTGTGTGTGTGTGTGTAAATGGTACTCGCTTGGAAAAACCTTGGGTATTTCGGTTTCTCGTAGAACAAACTAGTATCCAAGGAAAAATGAGAAATAAAAAAAGGAAAAAACCAAGAACATGAAACTAAGGCGAAAACAATCGTTCAGAATTTAAGCTTCTTTGCCCAGTCACCGTGCTTGACAAAGTGGAGTGCTTGAGCATACGTGAAAAAATTGTCAGTATGACAAATGTCTTGCCTAAGAATCTTAACTATCGTATAAAGCCGTCATATACATGGAATGTCTTTTTTCAGGGACATGATTAAACGCGGACAAATAACCTGAAAAGAAATGTTTCAAAAGATCAATTAACTGGATTAGCAGGAAACCCTTTTCAAACAACTGATTGATTTTCTCCGAAAAACAGAATAAATAAAAGCTAAAACAAGGATCAAATTGTAAGAACGAATTAGCAAAATAATTCCCGCTTAAACTCGAAACGGAAGTAGTACAAAGAGGAAACGAGCCGACAATTGGACAAAAGAGAATCTGTCTTCGATAAGTAGGAAAATCGTGTTTAAGGTGTGAGGCAAGAACAAAGACGATTTTCCGATTGGTTGAAATAACCAGCACTAATTTCGCTCGTTATTTTTCTCCGTTTGTTCGGTGGCTCTAATGAGAACGGATTTATGTGTGGACGCAGACGTAAGTGCAAGGATGCGTTGAAAGGTGGCGTTGCTATTAGGACATAGATAATCGGCCAAATTTAGGGTCTACGGAGAGATGAGACCAGCCATTCATGTATGATCCTATTAATTTCGCTCTACACATTTACTTACATGTATGAAATTATTTGTCTCATTCGGACTAATTATTACTTTATCTCGTCTTTATTAAGCGCTTCCCAGCTCATCCTTGTCTACGATGGTATTCGTCGGCACCTAAATAAAATCATATGCTATTAATACCTCTTCTAGGATACGAATAGGTACGGATTGTTTCATTGTTCATATTTATCAATCTTACTTTTTGTCTATCGCAGTCTGTGCTATCTATCTATCTATCTATCTATCTATCTATCTATCTATGATCTCAGTCCGTTATATCCCTCGATCGTTGATCACAATCTGTTTTATCAAACAACGTACATATCTATCTATCTATCTATCTATCTATCTATCTATCTATCTAAGATTTCAGTCTGTTGAATTTATTTATCTATGATTTCAGTCTTTCATATCTATCGATGAATCTATTGTTGATCACAATCTATCTATCTATCTATCTCAGACATGTCATATCTATCTATCTATGATCTCAGCCTGTTATATCTATCTATTGTTGATCACAATCTGTTATATCAAACTACGTACATACCTATCTACCTATCTATCGATCGATCTATCTAAGAGCTCAGTCTGTTCAATTTATCTATGATTTCAGTCTTTCATATCTATCAATTAATCTATTGTTGATCACAATCTATCTATCTGTCTATCTATCTATCCCATACATGTCATATCTATCTATCTATCTATCTATCTATCTATCTATCTATCTATCTATCTATCTATGATCTCAGTCTGTTACATCGATCTATCGTTGATCAGAATCTTTTATATCTATCTATCTATCTATCCATTTATCTATCTATGTCTATCAATTTTATTTCATAAGTATATACAAATCTCTCTTATATTTTATTATCATTTGCAATCGAGTTCACCCCAAGCAAGGAGGTAAAGCCACTAAGACAGTGTGTTACTGGGTTGAAAGAATTGAAAACAAAAACATCACTAAAGATTGAGAACAAAAACCAGGAAGGCAATAGAGAACGATTAACAAACATACATCTCCAGATTACAAATGTTCACTGCATCAATTGAGAAAAATTAAGACAAGTGATTTGATATTTTACTTCATGTGTAGATAATCTATAAAAGTTATATTTATTACATTTCATTTTATGGGAAATAATTTCAGATGAAAGTTCTGCGTCATATCCAATTTCAGAATTTTAAGAGACTGTAAATTTCTGGGAACGATCATGGGTTGAAAAAGGGAAGCATTACAAAATTTGTTAATAAATCAAATGTAATTTACAAGAGCCATAACAGTTCACATAAATCTCTCTCTCTCTCTCCATATATATATATATATATATATATATATATATATATATATATATATATATATATATATTCCTCTGTTCGACGCTCTTGCCATTTAGGGAAGTTCGGGTGTATACGTAAACATTTTTTATTGTTGTGGTAGGATCCACCTAATTTGCATAGTGGAGTACCGACCATATAAATATGGTTGTTACCGGGAAGAGAGGGAGGAATCAAGAGATTCAACCAGAGTCTCTGCCCGACTGCGACTCAGTCAACACATTCTCCAGGAACGGTCTTACCAGGAATATACAAAAGACTATATGTAAATATTGTGTACACTTTCTTGTTTCAATACATTTTGTTCTAAGTACATTTTGTGTTGCATTATCATTCCATGCATTAGTCAAGTTTCAACATTTATCTATCTATCTATCTAATTTAGTTCACTATCTATCTATCTGATTGTTTATATCGATCTGATTGCTCATATATATCTATCTATCTAATTTTGTTAATTATCTCTCTATCTGTCTATCACTCTATCTAATTTTGTTCATAATCTATCTATTTATCTATCTATTTCTGTCTCTTTAATATCTATCTGATTGTTTATATCTATCTTATTGTTCATTACTTATTTATCTATCTAATTTAGTTCATTATATATCTATCTATTTTTGTTCATTATCTCTCTATCTGTCTGTCTGTCTATCTATCTATTTTTGTGACGAACGGTGGCCGTTAATAATTAAGTACAACTCAAGACTTCAGTAGATAAAATAAAATAATATTTAATTACAACCGCAAATAAATACTTAACAAGTACAAAGAAATAAAAGTCAACCAAAGATAATTAAACATTTCAGTGAATAATTTGTTATTAACGCGGCTCGGCTTAATTTCCGTTAAATCTGAATTCAAAACCCAAATAATCGACGCACAATAATTCACACTAATTCGACTGGATAGTCATTCAATAATCACTCCAGTCAGCTGCCTGACACCTCTATTTATACATCTGGTGGAAAACAAATATTCTTAAATCCAGAGTGTCACGCTCGAACTTCGGTGACGGCAGTTACTCATTTTCTCTTTGTAGGACAGATAAAAGTCATGGTCAGCTAAAATATGAATTCAAACATCACAAAACTATAAAAAATGAAGAGTCTTTTAATATCGATTGACGAATTATTGGCGGATGGTGTTGATTGGGAAAGATTGATATGCGTTGCTGCAAGAAACGTCAATCAAAGAAAGACATATTTCTGTGAAGTTATGAAAATTTTGTGACGTACTGTGGCCGTTAATAATAAAGTATAACTCAAGACTTTAAAATATAATAGTATTTAATTACAACCGTAAATAAATACTTAACAAGAACAAAGAAATAAAAGTCAACCAAAGATAATTAACCATTTCACTGAATAGTCACTTAATATTCACTACAGTCACTAGTCTAACATCAATATTTATACACCTGTTGGATGAATATATTCAGTCCAGAGTGTTGCTAGTTATTCATTTTATTCCTATATAACACTAATTCTGTTAATTATCTATCTATCTATCTATCTATCTATCTATCTAATTCTGTTCATTTTCTATCTCCTATATATCTCTGTTCATTATTTATCTATGTATATATCTATCGATGTATACAGGTGTTTAATTTTACCAATGGCCATGTCACATTCAATTCATTCTGTTCACATCTTCGTTATCGATCCCTGGCTGTTGGTATCATCCTTAATCGACTTCAGGTGTGCCATCTGTATTCAAAGCAATGGACTTATTTTAAAGACTTACCATACTAAATACGGATAGTCGTATACCTAAACATTTATCATCACGAAAAATGAGATCAGATTTTCGGGTTCAAGCCCTGTTATTTCCTTTTCATTTCACACTAAGTACCCAGGGAAAAGTATGAATATTTTCTTTTCTTGCTACCTATGAATTAAATAGCAATGAGGATGGGATTTATTTTCCTTGACAGTCTAACATATGAGAACTCGGAATTCAGAACAGGAGACGGTGCTTTTTCTTAGATTTTATTTGAACAGTGTTGCACCATATATTTTTCTGCTGGTAAGATTACTTTAAATTTAATCTCCTGGTAGTGTTCGTAGCATCTTTTACGGATGCATTTGTATTTGGTTGGCACTTTGACATTTTGCATTGATTGGTTATTCCTATTAACACCTTATATATATATAAAAATTACTCAACAGTTGCATATTAATTTACCAAGTAAGTCTATATAGTTAGATTATTTACTAGTTTCTTAAAGAAGCTATTTATACATCAACTATAAAAATGAATTTTTGAAGGCAACTCAGAAAGGATATAATTTGTCTAACATTTTGTTAGATTACCACTTCATTTCTTCTTAGAAAATGACATTGTCTAATGTATAATGTGTATACATTTACATCTGATCCTGTTTAGCGTCTGTTTAGCGTCTGATTTCAAATCTACGGGTCATTACCCATTTATGAAAAATAATTTCTTAATCTTTACTTATTCACTTAGTTTAAATTTAACGTCGGTCATATTCGATTGGTTGGTATGAGTAAAGCCCACAAACCTTACAGTCACCCTATTTTTCTTTTTCCTTTTCTCATAAAAAGAGACTGTATTTTGCATTTAAATCTGATTAAATCGTTCAGTCGCCAGTAATTTACAATCGCCTGATGAGATGCGTTGATACGCGTCGAAACACGACTGCAATTGTGTAGCGATTTTGACATGTTTTTCGATAAAATATCCTAAATAAAGAACATAGCTCTACTTTGTATTGAGCCCTCATTTTGAATTAAATGTTAAAACGTTGGAATTGTAGTCTATTCGTTCTCATCTTACCTGGATATGGATATATATATATATATATATATATATATATATATATATATATAATTTGCTTTAGGATATTACACCGAAAACATGTCAAAACCGCTACAGATTTGCAGTCGTGTTTCGATGTGTTTCAATGCATTTCATCAGGCGAGTGGAAATTACTGGCGAGTAAACGATTTATTTTAATATTGCTCTATTTTTTTTTATTGGGCCCTCTTTTAAATTAAATGATACGAACGTTGGAATGTACTCTATTTGTTTTCCTCTTAAATGGATAAAACTTAAAGGATTTAAATAAAAGATTATATGAACACTAAAGTGATCATTTACAAATCAATACGCTCAGTAAATTAGCAACTTATCGTAAAGTGTGCAATCATAATATCGAATTAAAAAATACAAGTTACGAATATGTCAAAGGATATATGAAGATTATATATATATATATAGAGAGAGAGAGAGAGAGACAGAGAGAGAGAGAGAGAAAGAGAGAGAGAGAGAGCACACAAGAATTCATCCTCTCGACTACTCTTCCTCAAAGAACTTAATAATGTTAAACAAACACTAATCAACAACGGCTTCCCTAACCACCTTATAGACCACCAAATTAGACTATTTCTCCCCAAAGCACGTAATAACAATAGTGAACATACAGCCAAAAATCACATACACATTTTTTATAAAAACCAAATGCATATTAATTACAAACAAGACGACTCTTCACTAAGGCATATTATAAAGAAATATACTACTCCAATTGATCCGAATCAAAAAATCAAATTAATTATCTATTATAAACAATTTAAGACAGCTAACCTTATCCTCAAAAATAACAACACACCAACTAATGTCAAAATTACAAAGATCCAACATTATCTATGAGTTCAAATGCTCCTTAAGGAACTGTGTTCCTGATCAAACCGGACTCATAAATAATTACATCGGTTACACAACGACATGCTTATCCAGACGTCTTACGTTACACCTATCTGATCAAAGCTCCATTAGAACCCATTTAAACACATACACAAATTTACCCGACTCCATTAGGAACATACTAGTAGAAAACACAAATATATTAACTGCATCCACCTGCAAAAAAGACTAAAAATAATGGAAGCTATAATAATAAAAAAGAAAAAAGCCAACTCTTAACAATATTAACTACGAACAAAGCCACAATGCGCTAACCGTATTCGGAAATTAAAAACATCTCTCTAACAAACTAAAACATACACATAATGCACACACTCAATTAAGCTGAAAAATTGAATCATCCTTGATAATGGCTAAAAGTATAGCTGAAAGCGCTCGGAAATATAAAACATTTGGATAGTTCTTACACACCCTTTGTCCAGAAAAGAAAGCTCTTGTTTGAACACAATAAAAAAATTAAATAAAAGCTCAACCGTAGTACCTTGTCTGTCGTTTTTAATGAAACATATATAAATATATATATATATATATATATATATATATATATATATATATATATATATAATTAAAATAAAATTTATGAAAAAAACATTGATGACAAGTCGGCATAACCTTAACAGACTTTCTATTTCCAAAATAAAACCTTAATAAAAATTCTGAATTCTTATTACATCACCAACTCAAATATAAAATACTATTTTGCCTATAAATAGAGTAATTGAAATTTTCGAACTTTATTCCTCCATTTGCAACCTTCATTTTGATTATTCATCATTCAGTAACCCTTTCTATGTTACAACATGGAATGTAGTCTGTGTTTATTTGGTACGTATGTTTGGATAATTTTGTTTAAAATTTTAGAGGAACTAATTATATACGATAGTAGCAATTTGAGAAATTATGTGTATGTAGCGAGGGGTTTGGTTTATGGATGATAACTTCCGTTAAAATTGTTATCATTTTATTAATATCATTTTCAAACGGTGAATCTCCATTGTTCGACGTACGCCTTCCTAGATCTCGACATCTTTGCCGTCCATCTTGACCATTGTGGTAATCCATACATTTGGGCATTGGCTTGAATCTGGTGACCCAAAAGGAACGACCTGTGTTAGATTGTAGTATCGTACAACGGGGAGGAATATTTCACTAGCCTACCTCGCTGTAGGAATGCGTGTCGATAGGGGCGCATGTGACAAACTGAACTGTTATTTAACTAATAGCTGGGAGGAAAAGAGATTGATTCATAAATTGCCCAAGATTATTTGCATGTAGGTACATGTAACGAACTCGACTGGAATTCGAACTTGCTTAACTTTGTTATCGGGGAAGAACTGGTATTTCAACGTGATACGGCCGTGTGAATAATCTGTCTTACTAGATTATTAATTATAACAGGATTTTTTTTCGAAAGTGAATGTGATGTAACGAATATGCATACACCTGGGTTCCCCCTCACAGTAATATGATTCGCTGGTGTAAGCCATAAATACAGACTGATGTGGATGTACATGGGCGACGCCGATTATCTTCGCCTATTAACTATGCCTATTGTCTACCACTACGACGAGGACGAGTCCATTACCTGCTAGATTGTCCTACCCGGTTACAGTAGTCAACAACCACTTAGCTACTTCGAACAAATATATCTCTTTCCGGGACATATCAGAATGTAAAAGTGAATGCAACAGGTCCTTCTTGTATCCGAACTCGTCTCGTCGAATTCACTTTCCGAATCTCTAACCGTTACAGCCTGGAAAACTTTAATAACTTTAGTTTAATAAATCCTACCCAGGATATTATCGGTTGCATAAAAAGCTAGTATCTTTCTATGCAGAACTCCATTAAGATCTCAGCATCCGTTTAACAGCCAGCAGAGAAATTTTTATCTGTTGTACCTCCCATTTTCAAGCCGGCTTTTTGCCATATTCCGTTTGAGTGGATACTTACGCAGATTCAGAAGCATGCAGTGACGATCTTCGTTTTACAATATTTCAAAGAAAGGTCCGTATTCGAAATAACGCTTGCTAGAAATTATCTTGCTTATCCTCTCTGTCGTGGACATCTGATGCCCTCCGACCGTTTGTTCGCTGGGCCACTTGCCCGCACGACCGACCAAATTGACGTTCACACGGCAACAGAGACGCGAGAAAGACGGGAGAGAATCGATATATCGACTGGCCGTTCTGAAATCTCTTCGTCACTTCACGGGCCGCTGTAATAAGAAACTGGCGGTGTCACAATTCCAGGGATGTGGGTTAGGATTGAGGGAAGGAAGAGTTCTAAGATGGCTGGCCACGATGAATCTAAGCGAGAAAATATTTGTTAGGAGATGTGGTGTATCAGTTGAGTCGGATTAACAAATGAGCACGTAACCAGATTCTTTCTCAAATCAAATATGAGAGATTTTTGACACTTATATGTCCCCTGAGTGTCATATTCTCGAAGCTCTCTTTCCTCGATATATATATATATGAGAAACATCATCATTTACTCAAAAACCAATGTCGTTCAAATTTTTCTGAAACCTTCCACGTTGCTCACATTTTCCGTAAATGACATTCTCAGCATACATCAGTCGACTGATATCAAGTGTTGCTTTAAGCCTTCCACTTCCTCCGTGAGAAAACTATCCCGTGTTGACTATAAGAGAGTGATTAATATAGGGAGTGATTGATATAGGGAGTGATTAATATAGGGAGTGATTGATACAAGGCGTGATTAATATAGGGAGTGATTATTATGTGGAGTGATTAATATAGGGAGTGATTAAGGCAGGGAGTATTTAATGTAGGGAATGATTAATACAAGGAGTGACTAATATACTGAGTGAATAATACAGGGAGTAATTAATATAGGGAGTGATTAATGCAAGGAGTGAGTAATATAGGGAGTGATTAATATAGGGATTGTAAATACAGGTAGTGATTAACAAGAGGAGTGATTAATATAGAGAGTGATTAATATAGAGAAGGATTAATAAGAGGAGTGATTAATATAGAGAGTGATTAATACAGAGAGTGATTAATGCAAGGAGTGATTAATACAAGGATATTTAGTTTTAATCGGAAAAATTATTTGGTGAGTTTCGAACGAATAAGTAGCGATACTGAGTTAGTCGATGTTATTTAAAAAAAAAGGAACACAGTGTGTTTCCATTCGAAGTTAAAGAAAATATAATTCTCAAGAAAATCGCAAAAACTTACTGTATACATTGTTTGGATTCCGTTCCTTTCCTGACACATAGGTCATGGAGACGGCGGCTAGCTAACCTTTTACAAATATCTGGTCAACCCTAAAACACCTACCTATTGTTTATATTGCAACAATTCTGAGTAAAGCTTAGTTACAGATTGGGGAAGTAAGCGTATAATCTTACGTGATTATTTTTTTGAAAAAGCTCATAAACTCAAAGCTTTGGTGACAATAACATATGCCTTTGTGCATACAGACCCCACCGACAGCTTCAGAATGGTTCTCTCTAACCAATTTCACCTAAAGGGCTTTAATCAACATATGGTATGCGTTTAATTTACTTTGCAAATATCGTTTCCCCAAGGCGATAATTTTAGGAAGTCGCAAGAAATCAAAACTTTGAACTCTGAATTCATACTTAGAACGTGGAAATTCCAACCATTCGGAAACAGGAAAATCGAAATCCCTCCGCCAATATATCATGGAGTCACTCACGCATCTTATTGGCTAAATATATGAGCAACGATGAAGAAAAGATTCCTGAGCTGCCATGTTATATTAATCATTCCCTATATTAATTACTCCCTATATTAATCACTCCCTATATTAAATACTCCCTATATTAATCACCCCCTATATTAAATACTCCCTATATTAATCCCTCCCTATATTAAATACTCCCTATATTAATTACTCCCTATATTAATCATCCCTATATTGATTACTCCCTGTATCAACCATTCCCAATAATAATCACTCCTTGTATTATTCACCCTATATTAATCACTCCCTGTATTAACCACTCCTTGTATTGATGACTCCCTATATTAATTACTCCCTATATTAACCAATCTCTATATTAATCACCCCTTGTATTAATCACCCCTTGTATTAATCACCCCTTGTATTAATTACTCCTTATATTAATCACCCCCTGTATTAATCACTTCTCTTATTACTCACTCCCTATATTAATCACTCTCTATATCAATCACTCCCTGTATTAACCACTCCTTGTATTAATCACTCTCTATATTAGCCACTCCTTGTATTAATCACTCCCTATATTAGCCACACTCTGCCTTAATCACCTCCTATATTAATCACTCTCTATATTAATCACTCCTCTTATTAATCACTCTCTATATAGATCACTCTCTATATAGATCACTCCCTGTATTTAAAATTCCTATATTACTCACTCCCTGTATTAATCACTCCTTGCATTAATCACTCCCTATATTATTTAATCCCTGTATTAATCATTCACTATATTAGCAACTCCTTGTATTAATCACTCCATACATTAACCACTCCGTGCATTAATCACTCCCTATATTAATCACTCCCCATATTACTCTCTCCCTATATTAATCACTCTCTTATAGTGAACGCTGGATAGATTTCTCGCGAAGGAAGTGGAAAACTTGAGGCAACCAATGATATCGGTCGACTGAAGTATGCAGAGAATATCATTTACGGAACATGTGAGTAACGTGGAAGTTTTCAGGAAAATTTGGACGACATTGTTTTTTGAGTTAAGTTTCATAAAGGGACTGATGAAGTTTCTCATATATAAGTCGAGGAAAGAGAGCTTCGAGAATATGTCACTCAGAGGACATATTGGTGGCAAAAAGAAAAGAGGAAAACATCGAGTGTCCAAATTAGTGAAACCGTGTAAATGAATGACAAACCATTGGTTATTTTAGTTTAGTAAATTTGCCTTGATAACAATCCAAGCTTTTGATCTCCGCTGAAGTCAACTCAAAAGTTGGTTCAAGTTGCCTTTTGGATCAATCCATCAAACAACGGCATGGCACGTGGAATTAGAACAATCTAGCTCAGTGGACTAAATAAAGGGTTCGATTCGAAATTCCTACGGATATCACCTGGAGAAGGCCGGGTATCACCTGGACAACAGTCGAAAATTCTTGAATGTGACAGTAAACTATCTGAAAAAAGTAAATAGTGTAAATAGTAGCTATTTACACTATTTAACTGTTCGGACTGTTGTCGTCATCTTTAATATCGAAGTCTTATATCACAATAACTAATCTCAGAAATACAGACAGAGACTCACTATTTTCCAAAAAATTCTTCTCTAATGAAATCCTGCTTAAAATAGATTCTATAATAAAATTACAAATATTCATCTTGAGAATATGTTTTTAATCGTTTGGTTTGGTTTATTTTGTTTTACGGCATATCAATCTCAATGGGTTATTTAATGCCGACAACATTTTTAGGATAGATTCGTATGAATAGAATATGTATTCTTTGGTTTAGATTGGTTTGGTTTATTTTGTTTTACGGCATATCAACCTCAATGGGTTATTTTAGCCAACAACATTTTTAGGATAGATTCGTATGAATAGAATATGTATTCTTTGGTTTAGATTGGTTTGGTTTATTTTGTTTTATAGCATATCAACCTCAATGGGTTATTTAATTGCGAGAGCATTTTTAGGATAGATTCGTATGAATAGAATATGTATTCTTTGGCTTAGATTGGTTTGGTTTATTTTGATTAACGGCATATCCACCTCAATGGGTTATTTAATGCCGACAACATTTTTAGGATAGATTAGTATGAATAGAATATGTATTCTTTGGTTTAGATTGGTTTGGTTTATTTTGTTTTACGGCATATCAACCTCAATGGGTTATTTTAGCCAACAACATTTTTAGGATAGATTCGTATGTATAGAATATGTATTCTTTGGTTTAGATTGGTTTGGTTTATTTTGTTTTATAGCATATCAACCTCAATGGGTTATTTAATGGCGAGAGCATTTTTATGATAGATTCGTATGAATAGAATATGTATTCTTTGGCTTAGATTGGTTTGGTTTATTTTGTTTAACGGCATATCAACCTCAATGGGTTATTTAATGCCTACAACATTTTTAGGATAGATTCGTATGAATAGAATATGTATTCTTTGGTTTAGATTGGTTTGGTTTATTTTGTTTTACGGCATATCAACCTCAATGGGTTATTTTAGCCAACAACATTTTTTAGGATAGATTCGTATGTATAGAATATGTATTCTTTGGTTTAGATTGGTTTGGTTTATTTTGTTTTATAGCATATCAACCTCAATGGGTTATTTAATTGCGAGAGCATTTTTATGATAGATTCGTATGAATAGAATATGTATTCTTTGGCTTAGATTGGTTTGGTTTATTTTGTTTAACGGCATATCAACCTCAATGGGTTATTTAATGCCGACAACATTTTTAGGAGAGATTAGTATGAATAGAATATGTATTCTTTGGTTAAGATTGGTTTGGTTTATTTCGTTTTATAGCATATCGACCTCAATGGGTTATTTAATGCCGACAAAACTTTTTATTGCTGGTAATATTTTGTTTTATCAAAAATCTATTTTTGGTAATATTTTTCCTTCAAATTTTTAATGCTAGTAATAATTTTTTTCAAAAATGTTTTGCTGGTAATAGTTAACTATTTGCCCATAGCTGGGACCCTAACAGGGTACTACCACCCTGGGTCAGGGGTGGACCTGGGAACACCAGAAATGAAGAGGTGGTTTCACGCTCCTCAAAACCTTGTGATCAGGGGCCTTTCTGCTGTACGTAATTTAACGCCTTACCCAGGACCCAGATGTAGTTTAACGTCTTACCCAGGACGGGTTTTTAATGGATTACTATAGCAAATTCATCAGCCGAATTCCCTATAGAAAATATATTATAGGAAATTAATCTCAATGCATTTATGCTGAAATTATTTATAAAGATTGTTGAGGATACATATTTTTGCTATGAATTACGCGAGAAAATCTGTCAATTTTAAAGTAAACTTCACTGTAAATCTTTACTGTGATTTATTTACAAACCTTTTAAGGGATGTTTTTATAATGCATTTTCCTTATAATTGTATTTCAAGGTATCACTATAGAATTGGTACTTTTAATGCATTTCCGCAGTACTTAATTTTTTTTCCACAGCACTTCAGTTAAAATGTATTTCTATTGAAAACATTTCTAAAAGTTTTTGACGAAAATCAACATTTTTTTAGTATGGAAGCTCATTTTCCTGATTTTTTCCATTTTACTCCGTTTTTGAGATGCGCTCAATATATGTATTTCTATCATTCTTTTCAATGTCTTTATTCATACTTATTTGTATACAAAATTCTTCTTTAAGATAAATAAATATTTAATTATATGATTAATTATTTATTAAAAAAAAACAGTAAAACAATTTTCAAGCATTCAGTGAATAATATGTAGAAAATATACTTGCTTCTTGGAGAAACGGTTTATGTATGATGAATAATTATATTGTATATACAACTAGCACCATATCGTGTCGGTTAACTTGCTATTTACCTGTTCTTCTTTATATTAATGAACCTTGAAAACTTGGTAGTGATATTTCAATATGTATAAGATTAAACTAAACAAGACAGTAAAATGTGCTTTAGATTTTTATGATTTTATAATAAAATTATAGAACTCAAATGAAATAAATACTTCAGTTTTGAAACTTGAATATACTGAGTATTTGAGAATTTTCTCATGTGAAATATTTCCTTGTACGTCATCATCCGTTTTTATTATTTAAAAAAGGCTCACATTTCTTCTTCGTTTCTTTTTCTTCCCCTTCTTCTTCTTCCCACGTTTTTTTCGTTCATAGTTTTTTTTTTCAATTTATTCTATCTTTCCCTCATTCTTTCATTCTTTTCTTTCAATTTCATTCATTTTTTCTTTGCCATTTCATTATTATTTAATGTAATACACTATTTTTCACTTCTGTCTGTCTTTCTTCTTCTTCTTCTTCTTACATTCCCATGTTTTTTATCATTATATTTTTTATTATTATCTTTTTAATATTTTTTATGATGTTATTTATTTTTCTCTTGTTCTTTTTAGCCTCACAATTTTCTTATTCTACGTCCGTATACTTCTTCTTCTTCTTTCGATACACAACTGACGAAGCAGATATTTTCCTGCAGTAGGTTGCCATTTCTTTCAGTTGTAGACCATTTATCAAGAAGGCTCTAGAACCCTGTCTGTCCTTCTATATACCCATAGCTGGAGGAGAAGAAGAGGATTCATACGTTTCTCTAGGGTATTAGCACGTAAGTGAATGTAATTGATTCGATTTGAATTCGAACTCGGCTCTTCGATTCCTCAGTTCGAGCCGTTATCCATTACACCACTGTTGCTCCCTACATAGTCTGTAGATTTATATATAGATTTCTTTTATCGCAATGTAGATCTCGTGTCATGTGACGAAATTTGTTCACTCAGCTAAACGATTCGTTAAACAGTCATTTGTTTGCCTCAGGCTAAGAGGCCCGACCTGAGGCCAGATCTGCCTCCCCCAATATCATATATGCACCGTTTCCCTTTGGGAATATATCTTTCCCAGATATAGAAAGAAATTTTGTAACAAATAAAACTCGCTGTTTCTTGTTCGTGGAATATGTCCATAGTAGATGAATCCGACCATTTGAATCATGGAAACACCGATGAATCAATATATAACATGCACACTCATATGTTTTCGTTCTAATTTCACTCTGCTCATAATTTTTTCTATGTGTGGGATAATTTTAAATATACTCTTGTGCAAATTCATTGAGACAATCGCATTAGTTTCTTTCTTTCACCTTACGGTCAGTTTTAGACTCAGTTGGGTGACAAGGCGTAACCGATTTTTATTTTTGCCTCTGATTAGGTCATTTGCAGTGGTGTGCAGTAATATGAATTTATTTTCTGGTGTATGATGTAATTTGTGAGCAAATCAAAATACTATCGACTGACTTAGAAATACTCCTGATTTAAATTTCAGCCATTTCGCGAAATACGGTGTTATTATATCGTGGATCTAATAGAGCTTATAATGGGAAAAATGAAAGTGGGAAAATAAATCATTTTACCATTGATCTCCAGTTATACCGTTATTTTAATATTTGTTTCACACACACACACACACACACACACACACACACACACACACACACACACACACACACACACATATATATATATATATTTATTCCTTTTTATATATACATATATTCCTTTCATGAGACCCAGTATATATATATATATATATATATATATATATATATATATATATTAAATGAAAAGTAATAATTCGTGCCTGATGAGTTGGTAGAACAACGAAACTTTAGTTTCACTTTGAACGGATATATATATAAGACGATAAGAAAACTTTTCTTAAAAGTGTTAGAGCAGGATTAAGTTTAGGCTTAGAGTCAGGGTTAGTGAAACGAAACGCTCCACGAATCAATTCGAACTCCATTTAGCGATAGAGTAGTTCTTGTTGCGAAAGATACTTTTCATCCAAACTGCTAAATCTGCATAAAAGCCTAAACAATAAAGAATATATCGGCTCATTTCTTTTATGTGAAAGGTGGGGGAGATCTTCTCTGCCTGTCGGTAATTTAAAGATTTGTTTTCAGTTCTAAGTAATAATCCTATCTTGACGAGAGTAAACTCGAGCTCTTTAAGATAGCTGTCTGCATACAACGCGCCAACTGTAAGAACGAATTTTCATGGTATGGAGAGTGAAAGTAACAGACGTCTGGATTTTAATAAGGCTGTGGGCAGTGGAACGTGGATTATTCGCTGGGACATGGTTGCATTATTAATGCGATCTAGAGAGTCCAGCAATTCAAACGCTTGTCTGCATTTGTATATTAATGTTGCAGAGCCTCATTTTCAAGATTACAATCTCTTTTCATCCATCAATATATTTATTTCGGTCTGTAATCATTCCATTTTTATCTTTCATCTATCTCTGTTCAGATCTATCTATCTATCTATCTATCTATCTATCTATCTATCTATCTATCTATCTATCTGTCCGTCTGTTCAGATCTATCTATCTAATACCAGTTTATCGAGCTATCTCGCTATCTTTCTATCTATGTCTGTTCAGATCTTATCTATCTATCTATCTATCTATCTATCTATCTATCTATCTCAGTCTGTTCAGATTCATCTATCTTAGTTTGTTCACATACATATGTGTGTATAGATATATGTATATGTATGTGTGTATTTGTGTGTTTGTGTTTATGTGGGTATGTGCGATTAACTTGTCCAGTTACATCTATCTATCTATGTATCTATCTATCTATATATCTATCTATCTATCTATCTCATTCCGTCACACATCTATCTATCTATCTATCTATCTATCTATCTATATCAGAAAAATGTTTTATATATTTCAAGCTTACATTTCAGTAATTATAGCTAGACACTAGTATTCAAGGATACCCGTCTACGATGGAGGCTAGCCAATACCTATTGCAGGCGTTTGCCCAGGCGCATTTGTGTTTATTCAACACCAACAGAGCCAACCTGTGGTTTATACTGCAACTATGCTGAGCAGACCTTAGTTACAGTTTCTGGGAAAGAGCATGTTATCTAGCGTGATCAACAATTTGAACATGGCCAGCACGCTCAAGCCCTCGGCCACGATGAATTATAACTTCTATCCACGGCCTCCAAGGTTCCGTCTACGCAATTTCCCTCACAAGGCTTGGGTCAAACCGTCGTATGAATTTCAGGCACTTATCTCCAATCTCCTTCGTGACAAAGCGACCATGGTGAGATTCGAACCCGGGTCCCATGGCCAGAATGAGACCGTTCTATTCATTCGGTTAGGTGCTCATATTTTAAGAAGTATTTTCTATACACATGACGTGTCTAAAAATTCTTTCTTAATCAATACCCACAAGAAAGGTAATAAAGTCAATAAGACGCAAGGTGTTAGGGAGTGGGAAAGAATATGAGAAAAAGAAAATATTATTGATGAGAGAGAACAATTAAAGAACAAGAGTTAAGACAACAGAAGATAACTATTGACAATTCATTTAATTCCCTGAAGATCTAAGTTGAAAGCAAGAAGCCGGAAGAGATTTCCACACGTGAGAATTGCGTGAGAAGAAAATGTTAGCATAGAACTTACGGTTACATCTAGCCATTTCAAATGTAAAATAATGAAACCTTTCCACCAATCTATTAGTACGCTGAAATACATAAAGTGTAGGTATAAAAGAGGAAAGTTCATCAGAACAATAACCATAAAAGACAACAGGAATCTACGTTGCGGTGGTGAGAAAGTAACTGCAATCGAAATGTCAGACAAAACGAATATCATTGCAGATCCATCTTTGGATTTTATCAAGAATCTGTAAATATATATATCAAGAGTCCCAGAACATATAAAGGGTGTTTCATTAAGACGGATAATATATAACGTTATTTCATTAAGACGGATTATATATAAGGGTGTTTCATTAAGACGGATTATATATAAAGGATGTTTCATTAAGATGGATTATATATAAGGGTGTTTCATTAAGACGAATCAAATTTAGCAGTAAATAAATCAGTGTTATTGGTGAACATTTATTTATTTCACTCTTGGATCATGTTATTTAAGTCATGGCAATTATGTGTGAAAAATAATAACGCCCAATTTTTCACTAAATCTGAAAGAAAAAGAAAAAAAAATATTAGACGCTTAAACTTAACTCACATTAAAATCGGTCCAAATTATTTGAACACACTTTACAAATAATTGAACTATGTATAACGAGAATTATATTCCATTTCTCTCTGGCAATATGTTCAGCGTGAAAAGAAGTAACAAGCAAAGAGGATGAGTTAATGTGTGCGGACTTTCGAAGTTATTTTTTATCAATCAGTTTGTGTTTGAACGGAATATATTTTATAATAAATATCGTATTTAAATGAACAAAGAATTTAGATTTGACTTACCATTTTACTGTTCGCAAATGTGCCGGATATCTGGTTTTTAATTATTTACCCGCTGCCCCACGCAGCAAGATGTGGCATAAGGCCGAGTTTAAAAAATCCCTAGAGACCACGTAAAAACGGAGTCAGATTCCCAAGACGAGGCTCTGCCGAAGGGCAGAGTCTCGTCTGGGGGATACTCTCAGACATAAGCCAGAGTTTTTAATCATATTTATAAATAAAAGAATATATTATATAAGAAGTGCAAAAGAAAAAATAATAATAATATCTGACATCATAAAAGGAAAATTTATTTTCTTAAAGATCTGGTAAAAAATCCCCCAGCTTCTACTCGGCAAATTTGAAGCCTCTCGGATAATTTGTATTCCAAATGTTTTCTACCGTATGCGATAAGTCTTAAACGGTCAGTTCGTTCTGTTACTTCTTCACCCTGAAACACCTGTTCACGTAAAATCAACATTAAGAAAACTTGGACCTGACCATTACCAAGAGGGCTGCCCACTCGGGAAGAACAGGCGCTGTAAACTTGGATATGCGGGTGGTGTAATGGATAAAGGCACAGAAATGTTAATCAGAGAGCCAGGTACCAATTCCAGCTGGGTCCTTTACAGGCAAATACCTTTGGGGAACCTATCGAATCACATTAACTCCCCTCAGCTATGGATTAATTAGTAAAACTTGTATCACTAAACAATTATTATCTCAAAAAAATCTTACAACTTAAAAATATTTATGTCTTTAAAGAAAATGAAAAGGGTAGATAAACCGTAAAAAAAGGAATCAATCAGCCAATGAAATGCTGATTAGATACACAATTATGCCGTCTTGTGTATGAATATAATTTGCATGCGCGTCCTGGGTAAGACGATAAACTATATTCGACAGCAAGGACATTGATCAGGAAGTTTTAGGGAGCGTGGAAGCAACTCTAAATCGCTGGTATCCCCGGTCCACCCTGATCCAGGGGTGGTAGCACCTGGCAGGGTCCCAGCTATGGGCAAATAGTTAACCTTCCAAAAGGAGGTCTAAACACTATGAAAGTATAAAAATAGGTTGTAACACCAGCAATGCTTTTTTGGAAAATTTTTAGCAGCAAAATATTTTTGAAAAAAAAAAATATAAAAAATATATTTTTGAAAAAAAAATATTACCAGCAATACAATCTTGGAAAAGATATCACCAACAATATATTCTTGAACAAATTGAAAAAAATTGTCGGCATTAAATAACCTATTGAGGTCGATATGCCATAAAACAAAGCAAAAAAAAACAAAAAAAAAAAACATAATCATGTCTTTTAGATTTATTTACATTCCAGAGAATATATTGTATAGAATAGACCGTGACCACAAAGTGAGGGTCCAGGTCCAGGGTTTTTTTTTTTTTTATATATATATATATATATATATATAGAATCCGATATGCAATGTGATTGGCATCTCGTTTACAAATGCTCTCTCACAGACGTGCTGTCGCTACCGTCTGTCTTTAAAAATATTTCACGGTAACTGCTCCGAGGAGCTACTTTCGCTGGTTCCCAAACTGCATGAATTTAAACGTGCTATTAGGGTTGGTATCTCAGTTCCACCCTTTCACTTTCGAGACTGTTAAATGTAGCCATCTCTTCTACTCCAATAGCTTCATGTCTCGCACTTTCCGTCTGTGTACCTCCCCTCCTCTTTCTTGCTTCCCTGATAGCTATAAGTTTCAATTATTCAAATGCAATGTCACTCATCATTTTCAGATGCCTTGAACTAATTCCCCGTCTTTCTCTTCATCCTTTCCACTATCACGCCTCTTTACCTTTGCTCCCAATCTGTGTAACCCCTTGCGTGTTAATGGCACTCCTGCCTTGCTCGGGTTCATAGGCTTAAAAAAAAATGAATCTATTCTCCACTCTATATCCATATAATAATTTCTGATTCGTTATGAATCCTCCTCTTCTCCTCCACTTTACGGGTTAATAAGTATAACATTTGTCACAAAAGTATTAAAATCCCAAAAGAATTTCTTACTAAGAATAGTTTCTGGTTTAATAAACCTGCAAAGGGTTGACAAGACACAGAAAATGAATGAATCATTCAGTCGCCCGATTATGTGCAGAAAAGAAATAACTTGTAAGAATGCAAGAGAAATTTAAAAAGCTTAGTCATTGTCTTGTCAGGTCACCTTCAACGAAACTTGTATCCAAGAGGGATTGATGCACAAATATACAGTTGGATGGTGTATTGGATGGTGTCTTTCGTTTTAAACTTATGCATGCTATCAGGGGTTATGGTAAAGAGAATCAGGTAAGAGAAAAACATACTTTATTTGTGCTTTACTTAAGTGTGATACTAGCCCGGTCTTGCTTTTGGCGACAAAGCCACACTGACAAACGAAATTTGTTAAAGCAGGATTTTGATGGCCTCTCTTCTTCAGCGCTTGACGAAGCTGATCACGATGCTTCAGTCTACTGTCTTCAAAACCCTTTAACTTAATGAAACATGTGTTAGTCCACTCCTTTTGGTTTGATGCTTGGGTTTCCGAGGTTTTCAGATCAAAGTTGAGATGTTTCAAGTTGTCTTTCAATTTGCCTTTGTAGCGTAAGATTGTACTTCCAACTGAACGCTTGGAGTTTGGTAGTTGTACATACAGCACCTTTTTTGGAAGCCTATACTCATTCATTGTCACATGACCAACCCACCTAAGTTGTATATATATATATATATATATATATGTCTCTGTGTGTGTGTATACGTGTGTGTGTACAGAGCCGGATTATCCTAGTATAGTTTGCAACTTTAGGAAAGTTATGAATGTACCTCCTCTCTCCAACAGCTAAGGATTAATTAGTAAGACTCAATATTATTATTATTATTATTTTATTTACTCATTTCTTTCCGCGTCCCGTCCAGGAAACTAAGTTTAGAAATGGCATCATGACGTTTCCACTGGAAAAAAAATACATAGACAAAGCCCTTCGTAAGGTGTGGACTGTACACGTGAGAACATTTTTTTGTATTTCTTTAAGGTATGGACTTCCAGGAATCCATTCAATTAGTCTCCTGGAATCTTTTCCAAACATTCCGAGGGCTCCAACTACGACAGAGATCGTTGATGTTTCCATGTCTCACATTTTTTAGATTTCGATTTTTGGTCCTTGTATTTTGATAGCTTTTTTGTTATTATTATTATTATTATTATTATTGTTATGGAGTCCTCCCCTTTTTCATATAAGTGGACTCGACCAAAGTGTTACTTGGACTGCTGCCGTTAAATACCCAGAGTCAGTCAGAATACAGGAGTAGTCAAATAGTAAGAAGACTGGTATTGTGATTGAGTTGGAGGTAGAGTAATAGTGTGAGGTAACCGCTTGTAGAAGTCAGTTCCGAGCACGTAGATTCTAAGGAAGTCTTACTTCGAGACTGTATATATCTATACGTTATTGCTACTAACCGCGTTCCTGGATTTACTAACAGTAT